CAATAGTCAGGGTGAGTAGTCGGCAGTCCTGTACAGCACGCCGCGCGCAGTGAGAGCGTAGCTGGAACACGCGCGGCTCGGAGGGACCCCATCAAACACTCGGAGCTCGTTACTGCGTTATCGATATATCGTCGACGACGAACCGACTCGTTTATCGATAATTACGAGCACTTACCGAACATTGTATTGTACAAGACGCGATCGAACATTGAACGTTGAGAGCCCGGCGAGTCGAGAGGAGCCCCGGGGCCCCTGCACTCACCGCGCCGACACTCAATTTGTTCTGTGCGTAAGGTTAAGTTAACTGATAGAGATCCTTGATTATTGTGTTAATCGCTGTTTCTCCGAGTACCCTGGGACTGGGGACTGACCGACCCCCGTCCCCCGCGACGGACCGACGGACTGAGGGGCTCCGGTCAATCTTCTTGAATTACAAAATACACGCATGCATATGATATAGAATGTTTTATCTCAAAATGTTCAAGTATAGGAAGTTTGAAACAGGATATCTGTAGCTATCACAGCACGTCATTACCTACATGAATAAATAATTGTAGGTACATATCTTTATATGGATATACTGGTAGTATATGGGCGGGCGACAAGCGCGATTGTTGCGTAAGAAGTATAATTACATCTGTCGGAGAGGTATCGAGTGATCGTGGACTCGCACAAAGCGATCTGTAATGGCCGCAAACAATTACAGGGGGGGACACAACACACCGACAAATACAGATAGTACACTATTCACAATTAACTTGATCATTTATTTATGTACCCTAAACACCAAACGCAGTCCGCTCATATATACTCTGAAATTAAAGAAAAATTATAATATTTTTATTATTCTCAAATGAATATTAATTGTGATTTCTCATTTAGATCGGGTCATGAAGAGAATTGATATTCAGTGCTATTTCGATACGATAATTCATACTCGAGCTTTGTACTAAGTATGGAGGGCTTGCCTTCAACAAGCTACACACAGATACAATATAGTGATGACCTCAGGGAGATGGTGGGGCTCCTGTAGCGCATCACGTCGGTATGTTCGTGGGGGCTCGCGTCGACGACTGCTGTGGCAGCATGAGGAAGCGACCGCGTCGATGTGGCACAGAATGCGTGTGAGCTCCGACAATATTCTGAAGGTATTGTCACCAAAATGGACAGTTAATATTACAAGCATTGAATGGGAATTCATTTAACAATTAGTAAGTAGTAGTAGATTTAGTAACATTTTAAATAGAAACTTGCAACTAAAAACTTTGTGGAATTTATATATTCTGAAATAAAACCTTATACATAAAATATTATTATGGCCGTACATTGGCGGCTGCTGCCAGTACTTGCCATTAGCAAAACAGCCAGAAACAATAATATGTCTAATAAGATGTCCGGATGGCGGCATGCCGACAAATGTCGATCGTCCTATCATTATTATTATTATTAGGTATTACTATGTTTACATAGTGTAAAATGAAGTGGCTTCCGCTCTCTGTTTGCTTAGATCTTTTAAAATATTCAATTGATTTTAATGCAGTTTTCAGCAATATATATAGTGATTCAAAAGGAAGGTTTATAATTATGTATGATAAATTCAAATATTTATAATGTGAAGTCGTTAAATATATATTTTTGTGCGCTTTAATCACATTATAAAATACACACATTGTTAATTAATTAGATCGAGTGAGTACTCTGTTCGAGTGAGTGTGCTGTGTACCGAGTAGACTGTACTGCCGTGGCCGTGCGGTACTAATTTGTCGAGTTCTTCCTTCCGGCGCGAGAGGGCGCTCGCTTCCTACACACACACGCGCACTCGGAGATAAACACATTCATAATCTCACGTTTAGTTATAATTGTCAGATCTCGAGAGCAAAACATGCAAATTGAAATAGAGTTTGCGATTTGTGAATATTTAATTTAGGTGCGAAAAATGTAATTCTTAGTAGTGAATAGACTTCGGTTCAGGTAATGATTACGTTTTAAATGACTTCAGTATGCCACATGTCCACGTGGGGAGGGGCGGGGTGGGGAGGGGGGGGTGGTCCCGCGGCGACGCGTTAAATGATCCGGAATGAAGATCGCAACAAGCGACGCAGCGACGTCTCATTTCCGACTATTAGCGATCTCTTTGACGAGCTCTGAGGGAAGCTGCCGGGGGGAGAATTGCTCACACAGATTTACAGATGCTGCAGGGAATTATAGCCCGAACCTAATCTATTGTAGCGCTGTTAATGGTAGAAATACCATTATAATATCGATCACGACATAAATCAATAATAATAATTAGGTAACTAATATGCTTTTAGTAAGGATTGAAGTATTTCTTAATGAGGCGACATTCAATAGAACATTGAAGCAATAGTTCCTGCACAGCTACGCCGGCGAGGCACCGACTCCACTGTTCTACTGACCATAGTCGCTTCTACACGACGGTATCTAAGGTAGGTATACTAATATTATAAAGAGGAAAGATTTTTTGTTTGTTTGTATCGAATAGACTCCGAAGCTTCTGAACCGATTTGAAAAATTATTTCACTGTTTCGAAGCTACACTATTCTTGAGTGACATAATGCTCTTTTTTGAAAAAAAATAGGGATCCTAACTAAAACTCCAATAATGTAACCGAGGGTGTAAAAAAATTACCTAAAGTATTCTTTACATTGTGTGCTCTACGAAAACTATTGATGATAGAATAAAATAATGTACTACGACTTTGTAGAACACATTATTATTTACAAAAGTGTCGCAACAGCATATGTCTAACTATTATAGTTATGCCGTAATAAGTATTCTTTTATTTAAAGATATAAAACAACGTCAAATTTTTTATTTTTATTTTTTTATTGCTTAGATGAGTGGACCAGCTCACAGTTCACCTGGTGTTAAGTGGTTACTGGAGCCCATAGACATCTACAACGTAAATGCGCCACCCACCTTGAGATATAAGCTCTAAGGTCTCAATTATAGTTACAACGGCTGCCCCACCCTTCAAACCGAAACGTATTACTACTTCACGGCAGAAATAGGCAGGGTGGTGGTACCTACCCGTGCGGACTCACAAGAGGTCCTACCACCAGTAATGACGCAAATTATAATTTCGCGGATTTCATTTTTATTACACAATGTTATTCCTTCACCGTGGAAATCAATCGTGAACATTGAAAATTTTGTTAAAGACCCGAGCGGAGCCGGAGCGTGCCGCTAGTATGTTATAATCTGAATACTCATATTCAATAAAGGTGAACAATTAAACTATTGTTTGCTGTTTAATTTAAACATAACAATTGTCAAAGGTCAAGTTATTATTTCATTGCATGCAGCGAGCGAGCGAGCACGCAGCCTACACTCGTGCACTTATTTAAACAACTTGTAGGTTAGATTCCTATTAGAATGAAGCTGAACAAATAATTAAAAAATCGGTTGTCTGTAAAGTCGGTTTACTGACGATATTTGAACGTGACAACGTCATAAGAACATACTGATGGAATGGTTTCATTTTTCAATTATCGCAATTATCGTTGATATTAAACAATTGACACCACATTCACTTTTCACTGAACTTCATACTTGACGACAACATGTAAATGTATTATTGTATAGCAGCTGTCCACGCGGATGCATCGCTCACTCAAGTAAGAGAGAGACAGATGTCGAACGCTGCCCAACGCGGAGACACGATTGTGCCTCTTTGTCGCTCGTTGCGCGCTCTCGCTTGCACTTCAAGCCTTAAATGGAACGCCTCAGAGCGAGGTAACGCCGCATGAGTCATATTTTTTCGTGCATGCAGCCGGCTCCATCGAATTATAAGACGTTGTCACGTCAAAAACGACTTATGAAACTGCTCTAGAGCTGTTGAATTTTGTTTAGTTCAATATAGATTTGTTTTTGCTTAAAGAGAATACCTAGATGTAAAAAAACACAATAAGATATGGTCCGGAGCGAGCTCAGTATAGGTATAGTACAACTAGTCACTTGTAGTTTATTGGTTTATTGCTTACTGTACTGTAGGGAACATATCATTACAAATTGCGCCTGTGCTTGTGCCAGGCTGCGAACATCCTTAAGTATCCTTGTTCAGATCAGTACTAATATAGAAGGAATACCTTAAGAAATTTGATGACGCAAGAGTGTTTTAAAAAAATAAGGATCGATACATTAAGAAATAATGACACCGGTAGTACACAGTGGACTCTCCGCCCTCGCCCACACGGCTGCAAAGGACACGTGCTCTCTGCTCTCGAACACTGCCAAATGAGCCAGGACTGATATTATGTTAAGCAAGAGCAGACTGTTTGTTGATCACATCGTGTGGTCTACTAGACCTACTCTATATAGCCCTATACACACCCACTAACTTATTGTTTCAAGAATTATAATACTTACCGTGCTCAGTGTTCATGACAATAATAATATTATACAATTTAGAAAAGTTACTAGTTTGTGACAGTCGACAAGCAGTCCGTTGTTCCGATCTGAGTGATCCAAGCAACGATACCGTACAAGCACTGCTCGTGGTCTGCGGCTCGATGTCCATTAGAAGCCATTTATTTACAACATTTAAGAGCAGGCAAGCTGACAACAACACAGGGCGAGGAGTCGCACGCGGAGCAACATGGCGCCGCTCCTTAACGATAAAAATTAAATCAGTTACATCGAACACAATAGTTTGACGAGGATTGCGTAACTGTCCTGCAACAATCGCGCTCTGATAAACCCTCCGCCGGTGCACCAATCGAGCACCGGGGGAGGAGCGACAGAGCGCGACGGCACGATACACGAGCAGGGGGGTGCGAGCGAGACGCGCGCCGGCGAGGGCTGTCACGCCGACCACTTACAGGGACCAAGTCAGTACAAGTGTAGAGGCCACCCGCGTACGACGCCCCGCATGCACTACGAGTAACAATAATTACGCGAAGATTATTTATTTTAATGAACGTGATTAAGTTTGATGGACAGAGTGAACGGCTGAGCCTGGTGTAGAGTGTAGTGTCGCCATGTCGGAGACCGGCCGTCGAGGAGCCGCCTACACCATAGACAACATCCTCGGACACACAGACAGACATAACGGTATGCTCTTGATGTATTGCATTACTTTTGAACAATGCAAATATGTAGTTTATAGTGAATCATTAAAATGTAATCAAATTAAATTAAAACTTGTGCGATCGTTGAAAGCGTATTCACAGTGATCAGTAAGAACAGGAAATAGTTTAATAACAACTTACATATTAGGTATATATCGTTAAAACTTACCCACGTCACATACTTGTATGCAAGTCGTGTGTTACACATAGAATTACTTTTTGGTTATTTGGAATTAGCATAACAGATAAATAACGTGAAATTTATATTTTATTCCAATTTCGATAACTGTTGTGTTTGGTAAATTAAAGACGGACAAATTGCTAAGAGCGAATCATGCCCAATTGACAGGTCAATGACATATCAGATAAGGTAGGCCAGCATTCATCTAAACGAGTAAAGAACACATACCTACTCTGTACACACTGGTAGCTGCTCCGCGAGTGTATGCGCCCACTCCTGCGACGCCTCGCCGCCTCCAGGAGGCTACAACTTTCACTCACACTCATAATAATCTAAGTCACTATTTTACTAATAGTATTTTTCAAGTCAGTTGACTATTTTGTTTCGGTAGGTTGAATAACAACCCTTGACCCTTCAACCTTAATATGATCGTAGGTGGGTATGTAGACACCTACGTGGGTTTCACTACGACCCCTGACACTTGCCTACACCTACACACTTAGTTTAGTTTCAGTACAGCGATGTTTTTTTTTATTTTATTGCTTTGATGGGTGGAAGAGCTCACAGCCCACCTGGTGTTAAGTGGTTACTGGAGCCCATAGACACCTACAACGTAAATGCGCCACCCACCTTGAGATATAAGTTCTAAGGTCTCAGTATAGTTACAACGGCTGCCCCGCCCTTCGAACCGAAACGCATTACTGCTTCACGGCGGAAATAGGCGGGGTGGTGGTACCTACCCGTGCGGACTCCCAAGAGGTCCTACCACCAGTAATTACGCAAATTATAATTTTGCGGGTTTGATTTTTATTACACGATGTTATTCCTTAGCCGTGGAAGTCAATCGTGAACATTTGTTAAGTACGTATTTCATTAGAAAAATTGGCACCCGCCTGCGGGATTCGAACACCGGTGCATCGCTCGACACGAATGCACCGGACGTCCAATCCTTTAGGCCACGACGTGTGAAAGGGGTTTGATCTTCTATACCAGGGATGATCGACCGGTCACATTATCCTCTCTTCCACACAATACATCTCTTTTATTATATAATTTCAGCTTTATGTTAATCTTTTCAATAAAAGAAAATATATTACTTATTTGTATACTGAACTACATTATTTCATCAAGAAATGTCACTGGTAGATCGTAGAGTGTTTCGTCAGTAAGCAGTTGATCTTGATTCTAATCAAGTTGGCCACTCCTGTTCTATACTATATCTTGTTAAATCTATTATCGTCTTTATTAAATGAAAAGATTGAATTACAAATTGTTGAATTACACAACTAATAACAAAACGACTTCTTCTTCAATTACTTCTTCCGTTTGTTTTTAATATATAAAATATAAGTTTCTATCTGATTACGTGTGACCTGTGAGAGTGCCAGTATAAGTAGAGTGGGTCGGTTACGGCGCGGCCGGTCGTCACGAACAAAAGATTTGAATGGGACGCGACTCTACGCGCTACCATCTACTACTTGTTATCGCAGTCGTGTCTAATTTAATGTAGTCACACTTTATAGAGCAACGTAGAGACGTCGCTGCAGCGAAACTGGCTGAAATATGAATATACATACTTCGAATTAAACCTCACTAGCTAAATCTCGGCTAGCGAGCCGGACTAGGACGGCTGGTTCTCTGAGAAGGCACCCATTTAATCAAATTTATATTTTATAGAATGTGGAAAAGTTTTGAAATAAAAAAAATAACTTCACTACATTATACTAGTATAGCAACCAAAGCATCAATAAATAAACATAGCTATAACAGTTTTAGTTCTAATTATAAATAAATAAAATGTATCAAAACCTAATCCCAGGTTTTGTAGAAAAAACAAAAAATAGTTATAGAGTGTAACCTTTTTATGTTTAGATGGCTATTACTCCATCGTGCAAAACCCACTGTAAGATTTTGAATGAAATTTTGTACACAGACAGCTATTAGCTTGAATGCTCACTCAGAATAGCATTCATCGTGGTAAATGACATCAACCGGGCAACGCAGGGTGTGTCGGCTATATACATACGTATTGTCTAATGTTTACCTACAGTAATACAACAGCGTGTTTGTTGGTTCGTGATTTTTTTTTTCCTACCTATGCTGATAGCCTTGAGAGGCTAATTCAGCGTTGCCCTAGCGTATAGTTGAGCTCTTGGGGCTCAAACCGGACGGGTTGCTAACACTGGTCCTATAAAGAGCAGTGCTTCGCAGAATCTACGGGGAACGAGGAGAAGGACGAGGACGGTGACCGGTGCTTGAGGTGCTTTTACAGTTAGTGGATCGGGAGGATCCAAAATGACGTGTTAAGGGCGACGTCGACTATTCGGTCTACAGGACCAGGCATGTAATTTCCGGCGGCCACGACAAGTGGGTTTTCGTGTCGTACCGCCTTCTCAAAGTGGCGCATTGATGCCGACTGTATATACTTACTGATTGAGTAAAGCTTCAGGTCATCATGGAGATCCACATTCCTTAGGAACCATGATGCTCCGACGGCTATCCTGCAAAAACGGGATTGAATGACTTGAAGGGGTTTCAAATTAGTTGGTGTGTAATGCTATACCTATACTGACGGAACTACAAATCAACTGCTAGCTTAGCGACCAGAGAGTAACATAGACATTGAATAATTTTTTAGTCTTTTAGCTAGAAGCACTCTTAAAACTTTACGCAATCTACTATAAATTAATTGTTTATTAACGATGAAAATTATATAAACATGTAATTTCTATGTCTCAATATTAATTATGTGATATTTCAGTGATTGCGAAGCAATTTGCGAATTACATACCAGTTGTCAGCTAGTTTCCAGTAGAGATAGGTAGCGACTCAGTTATTGACATCGCTAAGATGCCCGTGAGTATCTACCACCACTCACCATCAGACAGACCGTACACTATTCTGCCTACTAAAAAATAATCCACATAGCTATATTATTTGAGAGGTTTAACGACAAAGGGAAGATCTTCCACCGAGCGAGTGATATTGCTCGGTAGACCGACGGTCCGAATGTTGTTGTTCGGAACTTGTAGGTATATATGTCAGCTTATCTTGAAAATGTTGTAAGCGAGATTCATCTATCAAACATCTAGTGTTGTATGATGGCGACCATCGCACCCGCGTAGTATGTGTGCTGTCGTCACGATAATCGCCTTATCGTTGCCGCCGCTGACTACCCCCTAAGTCCTGATCAAGCAGAAGCCAGTCACCTTCGACGCCCTAAGGACGTGTTCCTTACGGATCCGTCAGATCCAATAACCCTTGTTTTAGACGCCTTCAGCTCTAACACTAGGAGCAGGCTTAGGTACCTCGGTAACCGTATTCCTCGAACTCGACAAAGAGGTAGACGTGTAACCTAACCCATGAATCAGCCCACTGAGTTTCTCGCCGAATCTTGTCAGCGGATCGCGATTCGCGACCGCTTGAGTTATTAGGTCTTCTTTGGAGGCGCTCGGGCAGCCGTTAGCGAATTCCACCCCTCCTGGCTGAGCCTCTGTTCGCCACACGTGTGCTGTACATACTCATGAACGATGAGCTCATCGAATACTGTCAACAGATAACTGTACAACAGTAAATGGACTTGTTTTTAAATGTTCCCATGAAATTCACACACGTCTACTGCAACAAATGATTTCTTTGAGTTGTTGAACACAGATGTTAACGTTAACAATGCAGGTACGTGTGTGGTTCGTACAATGAGAGCGCGCAGTATGGTCGTCGGTCTCAGATCGCTGCGGCGCTGGTGCATTGAATAGCCGCCACAATATTTAATATTTTGTGTTATGAACACAGTCTAATAACATAATATTAGTAGCACAATGTGTGCACGGGGTCCCCTGCCGCGCCGACTGAGGCCGCGCTCACCACTTACCATTGTCTGTTCTCAGCTCAGTGCGTCGCGGAGGATTACCCGGCAATGCGTTATTACAGACTAATGTTGGTGTAATTAGCGGTCGCGCGACGGGGCGCTGCCTCTCCACAAACTCTACACTCTAACTGATCTCAACTTGTTTTGACAACCGCTACAATACTATAATAAATATATTGTACTCTTTATATTATATAATGATTCATCACATTATGAGTAACAGCTGTCTCTGTGATGCGAGTACTGAATGTACAAGGAAGCGAGTGTCGAGGATGTATCCTTTCGCTTGGTCGGGCGTGATGTTGGAAACAGGTGCATGTTGGATTAAAAAAATGAAGAAGAAACGGGTTCACTCATATACCTACGTACAACGCAATTTTCTTAAATTCTGTATCTCCCTCTGCTTCGGAGTGATGCGCCGGAGACTGAAGCACAGCTCTCTTTTCTGTACTCAGTCCATTTCCAGAGATTATTTCTTGAAATTCAGATAATGTGTGGGTGCTGGTGCTGGATGCAATGGCTGGATGAGCTCGTCTTGTTCTTTAGAGTCTTCCAGCGCTGCGATGCATGATGCGCCTTTGTAAAGTCGCTAGCGGTAGGCTTAGGATTGACTCCGCAACTGGCATCGCACGACGAGTCACGTCGATGTAATAGAAAATAAACACTATTGATATACTTTAATTATAAGTAAAAACACTTCTTGATCGTAATAAGTAAAAATGTATATTTGTTTTTATTGAATAAATCCGTAGAGGGCGCCTGAACATAGAGCCGATCTCTAGTTAGAGTTGCCGGTAACGAGCATGTAGAGTTCCAATTTGAAGGGATTACTCATGAATAAATCTCGTTTGTATGTCGAGCGCCGGCCGAGCGCTTCCAAACAGCACTTTAGTTCGTAATGCGCTTCTAGCAGCTTACGCTCAAGATAACGTTA